GGTGTGGGGAGGGGTGGAAAACAGGTGCAGCGGCACACACCTGTAATCCCAGTGACTCAGGAAGTTAAGGCAGGAGGATCACAAGTTTAAGGGCAGCTTGGGCAATTTAGTGAGATCCTGTCTCAAAATAAAAAAAATAAAAGGGATGGGGAATAATAGCTCAGTGATAAAAGCGCCCTTGGGTTTCATCCCCAGTACCAAAAATAAATAAAATAAAATAAAATAAAAAAGTAAAAATGATGTCATTTTGGTCTGGGGTAGGCCCTAACCCAGCCCTAAGCTAATGACTAATGTCTTTATAAGAAGAGGGAAATTTATTTGGACCCACATAAAGGCTGAGGCAGACACTGCAGTGTCTCATCTCCAAGCCAAGGAATTCAAGGATTGCAGGCAACCACCAGAAGCCAGGGAAGGGAGGATTCCTTCCCAGGGGACTTCAGAGAGAGCATGAGAACCTGCCAATATCTTGATGTTGGACTGATCTCTTCTAGAATTGCAAGAGAATTTTTTTTTCTCCCTGTTGTTTTAAACCACCCAGTTTGTGGGAATTTCTTACCACAGCCCTAGGATGCTAGTACAGGATAAAATGCATATTTAAGCTGGGGGCGGGGGAGGGGGGAACCGGACATGTGCTACCTGGATGAGGAAATATGAGTAATTTTAATAAAACACGTTGAAATGGTGACCGTCTTTGCTGGCACTACCCTCTTGTATGAAAATTGTCATATACCTTTGCAAGTTAGTCTCAGGTCTTACCACAACCAAACTAGTCACACTGTGGCCACAGTGAGCTTCCTAGAATCTGATCATCTGCTTCAAACATTCAGTGGTTCCTGCGGAGTCCCCACAATAATACCGAAATTCCCCTGGTGGCATCACTCCCAGCAACATGGTCAGCATAGTCACACTTCTTCCCCCTGGCCTCACTGCTGGGCCAACTCTTTATTTGGGTATTAGGTCTCTATACTGATGCCCCTTCTGGCTGCTTAGCTTCCTTCCCAAGCAGTCCTGTCATCTGTCTCAATTTCCCTGGCACAACTTACTGCACCTGCCAGTCACTATCCCCGTAACAAAACATACAGGCTGTAGTCTTGCTGCTCAACCTTGTCCACAGACTAGAATCACCAGAGTTTGTAAAAGTTGCAGAATCTCACGTCCAGCCAGAGCTCCATCATCAGATGTGCTTTCTGACCAGGTGCTCAAGTGACTCTTATTTCACATGATATTTGTGAGTCTCTATCTTTCCATAGCCTAGCACAGCATCTGAACTGCAACAAAGATTTAATTGAGAAAAGCAGGAAATTCAGATGAATTTTCTGTTAATAAACATGCTACACAAGAAGAAGAAGAAAAAAGTCCCTTTTATTGGAACAAACAGAATCAGGTCTACAGCTTGTATGTTTCATCACATGCTTCCTCTAAATACTCCTTTATGCATCTCTCATATCCTCTTGTTCAGCTGTCAAATCCTATTTTCTTTTTTTTTAAATTTATTTATTTATTTATTTTTTTAGTTTTCGGCGGACACAACATCTTTGTTTGTATGTGGTGCTGAGGATCGAACCCAGGCCGCACGCATGCCAGGCGAGCGCGCTACCGCTTGAGCCACATCTCCAGCCCCAAATCCTATTTTCTTGTTGAAATATATGGATGACTGTTCTATTACTAATCATGTTTATTGCTGTCAGTTTAAACACACACACATATGTATCTACAGACACCTTTTTTTTTTTTTTTTTGGTACTAGGGAATGAACTCAGGGGCACTCAACCACTGAGCCACATCCCCAGCCCTATTTTGTATTTTATTTAGAGACAGAGTCTCACTGAGTTGCTTAGCGCCTTGCAGTTGCTGAGACTGGCTTTGAACTCTCATCCTCCTGCCTCAGGCTCCGGAGCTGCTGCTGGGATTATAGGGGGGCACTACTGCACCCAGCATCTAATCTACAGACACCTTTTTAAAAAAACACTCTAAATGACAACACAGATGACCAGATCTTCCAGATTTTTACTCTCTTTTTCTTTTCTTTCTTTCTTTTCTTGTACTGGAGATTGAACCCAGTGGCATGTAAACACTGTGCCACATCTACAGTCCTTTTAATTTTTTGAGAAAGGGTTTCCGCTAAGTTGCTGAGGCTGGCTGATTTAGATTTGCAATCCACCTGCCTCAGCCTCCTTAGCCACTGGAATTATAGGTATGCTTTCTCTGTCATTTTTGAACTTGGTCCATGAAAATGAACTATCTGGTAATTATTATTGTTATTATTATTATTTTGTGGTGCCGGGGATTGAACCCAGGGCCGTGTGTATGCAAGGCAAGGCAAGCACTCTACTAACTGAGCTTTATTCTCAGCCCTCTGGTAATATTTTTTAAAATAGTTACCCTCACCATTCCTAATTTTTAAAAAACAAATTGTAGGGAATTATAATGCTTCATGATAATTTTTTTTTTTTTGATCAGGCATTGATCCAGGGCATTTAACCACTGAGCCACATCCCCAGCCCATTTCACTTTTTGAGACAGGGTCTTGCTAAATTGCTAGGAGCCTCACTAAATTGCTGAGGCTGGTTTTGACTTTGCAGTCCTCCTAAGTCTGGGATTACAGGCATGTGCCACCCTGCCCAGCTCATGATAAATTTTTAATCATTATCTTGTTAGCTTCAGTGGCCATAATATCCCTATTTTTCTTACAAGTTCAACATTAAATAATTCACCAGTTTTCAAACTCTTCTTCTAATTCCCTTATTAAAATGTTAGTTCCAGAAAGAATTTATGGACCATTTTTTCCCCAATGAAAATACCCTCCATCAGCTGCTTTTGAGACACTTCTGAGACTCCCCTCCCCTCCCTTCCCCTACTTCTTATTCCAAGCCAATTGAATTTGCAATTCTTTTAAAGGTAGAAATGCCTACAGTTTGTGTCCATATGGGTCAAAAACATTCTATAATGATAATGTTAGAGGACAGAACTGACACACCCTTTGTAGATAAACAGTGTTACAATTTGTTTTTCTCCTGTATGTGTGTATTCATTGCATTTCAGAATGCATGGTTTGCACAGAAGTTTACTAGTTTATGCAATTAAGAAATCAACTTTATTCTTATGAATTAAGGAAGTAGAAATGACCCTTCAGAGGGTCACAGAGGTTTTGAGTTAGGTTTAAGATAACAGATTTTAGGGCAGCATCTCCATTTGGCTTCCTGCCTCACGTGTTGATATTCCCATCCTGAATTTGATCTGCTTTTGTCCCTAGCATTTACCATACTCGAAAACACCCAACATCAGCCTCAAAACAAAGTTGTTTAAACTCAAGAGTAGTTTTGTCCTATGCTTATAATATTGTCTATACCTTATGCAGGGTCAAGCAATAAATAAATATTTGCTGGTTTGTGTTGATTGAATGATTTAAGATAAATAAACAAGCTCAGATGCCTACTGGGGCCAGATAATGTAAATGAGAAAAGCAAACAGCAGGGAATGTTGGTGAACGGGAGCCTCCAGGTCCCTCTGAAGGGGGTGACTTCCACTTCTAGCCTACTCTGCACTTTTTGCAAAATGAAAGTGTCAGAGCTTCTGGTTTCCCTAGAGATGCCGGACATCTGAGTTTTTAATTCAGTCTTTCATTTTTTAAATTTGTTCAGTCATTCAATTTTTAGGTTGGGAATCTATTCAAACCTTTACTTGTGACATTTTGCAGAGCAACACTGTGAACCAAAGCAAACTCTTCTAGGAGGTCCACGCAGCTGTATGCAACCCACTTGGAAGCTCTGCATTCAATTAAGTTGATGTAGAAACACTCATTTTCTAAGAGGTTGTGATTGCTAGGAAGGCCTAGTTGGATAAGAGGTCTTGCTCCCTGTGTGATCAGGCAGGACATGACTCTCTGCCCATGTGAAGCTCGGGCATTTTTCTCAATATCTATAAACCTCAGTTTTTGCACCTGTTAAGTGGCCGCGATGCTAAGAAGGACAGCTTTCAAGACTTGTTTGAGGGATAGAATGAGAAAAATGCAAGCCAAAGCTCTTAGTAGAACTGACCCTCTATTATATCTCTTAACTATTCCTAACTCTAGCACTCCTTTATACAATAATATTTAGGTACCAATCAAATACTGTGATAGCAATATCACGTTCCCAGGTATCTCATCCCTCCCTCTACAAAATATTTGAATGTTTTCTTATGATGATGACCCATTCTTTTTATCACCGAACATCCAGGAATATGCAATACCGACATATTCAAGGAGAACGTTGCACAGCTTTTAAAAATCATATTCCTACCCGGGGCAGAGAACCAGGCCCCTCCCACCACCTACCCGCACTCTCACCCCTTCCCAACGCACGCACCACGTGCGGGGTTCCAGTGTGCAGAATTCCCCAACACTCCCAATGCTTTATTTTGTTCTCGGACCTGATACTTTTTTCACCTGGCTTCGGGCACCTTTTCTACTGTTGGTGAAGTTTTCTTTTCACTTCCCCGGTACTATCCACGCTGAATTCTAAGTTTCCTCGTCCTAACCCTTCCCTGGGTTTGTTATTACATAAGTCTGTAATTGCCAATTTATGATAAGGAGGAGGCGCCTGGTCTCTCCCCAACCCCCAACTTTCCTCCTAGGAAACCCTGGCGTCTCTCGCCACTCCTAGCCTCCGTCGACAGCAGCCGTCTCTACCTGGGGTGTTCGTAGATCCTCAAAACCGACCTTTTTCTCCCATCCCCTTTTTAAAGGAAGTAACTGTGGGGCCGAGCAGGGTCCCTCCGGCCCGGAGCCCAGCGCCCCCCGCTACGGGTCGGTGCCGATGCGGGTCCGGACAAGTTGCGCTCGGCAGCCCTTTTCCAGAATTGCGCGCGCTCCCGCAACGGCGGGGACGAGCAGAGGCGGGACGGGGGCGGGCCCGCGTCAAGTATCGTTACGTCACCGGGGAAGTCCCCAGATGACTCGCGAGTGGCCTCGGCGCGGGAGCTCTGAGGATCCCGGCACAGTGTGCCCTCAGGAACTCGGCGCGCCCGGTGTCCCTGTCCCGCTGGCCGGCCCGGAGTGCAGCCCGCGTCCTGCGGAAGCCTGAGCTCCTGAGTCGGGGGACAGAGTTCCCCAGGTTTGCAGCGGAGATCGCGGCGGCGCCCGGGGAGATGCCTGGAAAGAAGGCGCGTAAGCGCGCGCCACCGAACCCCGCACGGGCGCCAGGTACCCAGCCGCTGGGGCAATCGGAGACCCTGGCGGGGCTGGGGTCGAGGTCGAAGTCGGGGCGGTGGGCCCTCAGGGGCTGGGCGAAGAATGCCAGGGACTCCAAGGTCCGGCCATCTCAGCGCCCTGGCGCGTGGCTTCGGGACGCCCCCAGGAAGTTCTTCTGGCGTTTCTTCCAAGAAAGCGGGACCCGCGAGGGAGGGAGCCCAGCCTGGGATTGGGATGCAGCCGCATCTTAGCCAGGCCAACCTGCTGCGTCCACTCTGGTTTTCCCTTTTCTCCACCTGGCCTTCCTCGGGGAAAAAAAGTGCAAGTGTAGGCGGCGCCCCAAAGGAGGTCATTGTCAAGACAAGCGAGGGCGGGAGAGGGCTCCGGGAGCCACCAGGCCTCCACCGCCTCCCTAAGTGGCCCCTCTTCCCCTGGACCCCACCTCTGAGAGAATCTGTTCCCACCGTCTCCACCCGGCAGGAACAAAAACAGTGTTTAAGGTTGACACTGTCCCACTCAGGACTGACAGGGGATGGATGGAGGCCCTGCTAGGAATCAGAGCTAAGGAACTTAGGGGGTTAGTTAACGTTTTAACAATCGATATTGAAAGGAGTGGATTGGGGTGGGGGAGCAGGAAGGAGTTGACCCTCTTTCTGGGTACCCAAACCCCCTCCCTGTCTGGCCAAACACTTGCAGCCCCGTCCTGTTTGGATCGGCCCTCCCCTTCCCCACTTGTAAATCTTTATAAATTTTACTAAAGGCGGCAGTTACCTACTAAGGAGTTGTAACAAGGAGAACAATAAGGGTCGTCTTGCTATTACATCAGACAACTATAGGCCACCATTTTCATTAATTTTATGGCACCTGTGGGGCATTAAGAGGAAGTGATACAAATGTCACCATGGCGAAGTTCGCAGTCACCAGGTTGCTCTTTGCATCTTCCTTGAGATAGAAAAGTTTCCTCACCTTTTGTGGTGTTGACTGTGTTTCTGAAAAATCTAACTAATTCGTAGTAGACTAACCTAGTTCTCAGTAATAAGGGACAACAATAATTCTCTCTAGCCTAATTATATATTAATAAATTTATTGGTGTGTAACTGCAATACAAAAAAAAAAAAATGCAGGAAATAGGCCTGGGAGTTTAACTCAGTGGTAGGAGTGCTAACCTAGTATGGAGAGGCCCTAGGTTAATCCCAGAATAGTTCTTTTTAAAAAGGGGGAAAAGTTTTTTTGTCCCCCACCCCCACTCAGTGAAAGGAATAATTTTTCCTCAATAGAGTTCAGGGCTTCCAAAATCATATGTTGAATGATATTTTTAGTAGACTGTATGTTAGTTAATATATCCCTCTTACTGGAAAGAATATGTGTTTTTAAATATTTCCAAAGTGTTTGAGCCTGGAGACTAAAAAATTGTATACTACATGATTTATTAGTTCTGGTTGGAGTTAGAGAAGATTTCACTCAGCTCTTGTAGAGAAATTAGTTGGAATGTAGATTTAAGAGTTTGCTTTAATATATATTTATATTTATTTATAATATATAATTATATTTATATTAATATACACACACATACACACATACATACAGTTCTCATTAATTTTGAATCTAAGTAGGGTCTTATTTACAAAACAGACTTTTAAATATAAAATCAGTTTTTTAAATTTAATTTTTTCATTTACTGGGGATTGAACCAAGAGGTGCTTTACCACTGAGCTACATTCCCAGCCCTTTAAATTTTTTTGAGTCAGGATCTCATTAAATTACCCAGGCTGTCCCAGAGTTTAGGATTCTCTTGCCTCAGTCAGCCTCTGGGATTATAGATGTTTAACCTACCACCCTCCATTTCATTTTGAGACTGAGTCTTGCTAAATTACCCAGGCTGGCCTTGAATTTGCTGTCTGCTGCCTCAAGTCTCCTGGAGTCACTGGGATTGCAGGTGCGCCACACCTGGACAGATTTTAAAATTTATATTTATGATGATCTCCTCTCCATCCCCACCCCACACACACTCTGGGGATTGAACCCAGGGACAGAATACCATTGATTACATCCTCCAGCCCTTTTTATCTTTCAAGAGGAGGTCTTGCTAAATTGTATAGGCTTGCCTGGAATTTGCAATCCCCCTTCCTCACCCTCTGGAGTTGCAGGGATTATAGGTTTGGGTCACCTCTCATGATTTTTAATGCTCATCGTCATGATTTTGAAGGTGAAGAAGACCTTATGTTGCTCATTGAAATATTATAAAAAATTGGAAATACTAACTATGTTATTTTTATTGATGGCAGTTTAATTGGAAATTGTTACTAGAATTTTTTTATGAAAATAAGTTAATTACAGCACCTAAAATCTAAAAAGTTGTGAACATGTGTATTAAACTTATTTTCTACTTCATTCTTTCCAGTAAAGGCAATGAATTGTTACAGATTAGCTTGTAGGAAGACGTTGGTTTAGGTTAACAGGTAAATTTTAAATTATTTTAGCAAGTGTGGGCAGAATTTTGGAATAAGATTTTTTGAAGTGTTTTATGAGAAAATGTCAAGGAGTTTTTAAAGGAGTGCATAATGAGTTATGAAATAATTAATATTTGAAAAACAAATGTATGTATAAAAATGCAAGTGTTTTGAATATGATATATTTTTTCTGGCCAACTTTAAATGAGAGACAAAAAGGATAACCACAGTTGGCTGCCAGAGCTGGGTAATGGTACTGTTTATAGTATTTGACATTAAATTTCCAAATCTGAAAGTAAGATAACACTGTCTCATCCTGGATTTTTTTTTTTTAAAGATTAGAAAGTTAAGTATATTCTAAATTTTTTTGTTTGAGAACCACCGTATGTTAGTGTGTAGTGTGTGTGTGTGTGTGTGTGTGTGTGTGTATGTGTGTGAATGTATGTTCTAAGTCTATCTCACATTTTGGGGGATACGTGCACATAAAGGAAATTGAAGAGAAATGCTTCTTGGGATGTACAACTTCTCACTTGTGTTAACTTTCTGGGTACCCTTTGGTCTAACAACTGTCAATGTTAATTTCATGTTTTGCTTTCCTTTTCAGAACTGGAAGTTGAGTGTGTTACTCAGCTCAGGAAAATTGAAAATAGACCGAATTCTCTGGGTTCTGTAGCAGAGGTCACACCTATGGAGATGCCTGGAAAGAAGGGGTGGAAGAATGAGCAGCTGACCCCAGTGACCCCAGCAACCCCAGCATCAGCATTAACAGGTACCTGTCAGCTGGGGCCTTGGAGACTTGGGGCCTGGCCCTCAAACTGTAAGATCCTTGGGGACCTCAGGGTCAGGATCCAGCCAGGTCTGCCCCTCTGAGCTGCCTTTGGGCTGCTTCTCTTTAGTTCTTCAGGAGGTTCTCCCAGGACAGCAAGGGAGGGAGCCTAGCTTAGTATTCCGACAGAGTTGTATTTTTTTTTTTTAAACTTTAAATTTTTGGTACTGAGGATTTAGCCCAGGAGTGCTTTACCACTGAGCCACATTCCCAGCCCCTTTTATTTTTTATTTTGAGACAGGGTCTCACTAAGTTGCTGAGGCTGGTCTTTTATTATTTATTTATTTATTTATTTGGTACCAAGAATTGAACCCAGAGTCACTTAACCACTGAGCCATATATCCCTAGTTCTTTTTCTTTTTTCTTTTTATTTTTTAGTGCTGGGTATTGAACTCAGGGATGCTTTAACCACTGAGTCACATCCCCAGCCCTTTTTCATGATGCATTTAGAGATAGGGAATTGCTGACATTGGTTTTTGATCTTTTTGCCTCAACCTGCCGAGCTGCTGGGATTACAGGCTTATTTTTTGAGACAGGGTCTCAGTTGCTGAGGCTGGTCTTGAACTTGCAATCCTCCTGCCTCAGCCTCGCCAGTAGCTGGGATGACAGGTGGCTGCAGCTGTGTTTTAGTCGGGCCAGCAAGCTGCTTTTCCCTTCCCTCCACTCGCCCTTCTAAGGGGCCTCAGGGAAGACAAGTGCAAGCCCAAGCAGCAATGGCAGCCCAGAAGACTGTCACTGTCTTGAGCCAGGAGAGGGCTCTGGAAGCTACCTTCTTTCTCCTTTCATTTAGACTCCACCTCTGGAAACCTTTATCTTGCCACTGCCCCCACCCTAAGAAGAACAAAAGTAGTATTTAAGCTGGATACTGTCCCACCTGGACTGACTCCAGAGTTGAGGAGCCTAGGGGGTCTTCTCCTTAGTTAACATTTTAACCATTCATATTGAAAGGGGTGGGCATAGCAGGGGAGGAGGAGCTGGTCTCCAGTCTTATACATCCACCCCCCACCCCCATCTCCTTCACAGATTTTCAGGTCTGCCAGCCGCATCTCATCCCACCAGCCCCATGTCATCCCACCGCTTCTTGTAAATCTTATCAAAGGCAGCAATCACCTGCTGTAAAGGGTTGTAAAAAAGAGGGCTCTTAGGGCTAGAATTCCCAATGGGTCACGCTGCTATTATCATCAGACAATTGTAGGGCATGCAGAGGAAATGGGACATTGCAAATGTGACCATGGCTAAATTGGCAGCAGGCTGCTCTCTCTGGCCCCTTCTTGGGATGGAGAAGCTTTGTCCTTTTCTGTGATACTCAAAAGAGTTCTGACCATGTTTCTCAGACAACCTATCTATAACATGCTCTGGATTGACTTCTAATTCCTAAGAGCAAGAGACAGCAGAAAATGCCCCCTAAAAGACAGTAGTTCTGCAATAGCAATTTTTCTTTTAATATTTATTTTTTAGTTTTAGGTAGACACAATGTCTTTATTTTTTATATTTATATGGTGCTGAGGATTGAACCCAATGCTTCATGCATGCTAGGCGAGCACTCTGCCACTGAGCCACAACCCCAGCCTCTGCGATAGCAATTTTAAAATCAAAAAAGATAACAGAACTATTTCCATTTTATTTTCTTGTGAAAAAGGTTATTTTTTTCTGGTAGATTGAGGACTTCCAAAGTTGTATATTGGATGATATTTTTCTTAATCCCCTTGCCTGGAAGGGAACCAAGGGCTCAAGTATGCCAGGCAAACATTCTACCACTGAGCTACATCCCCAGCCCTGGATGATAGTTTTTTAAAGAACTATATTGTTAACATATCCCACTTACTGAAATGTAAATACTTCTCAACATTTGATTCTGTAGCCCATGAAGAATGGCATTTTGGAAGATTTATTAGGTCTCTTGGTAGGGGTTAAGAAAGATTTTACTTTTGTTCATTGAAATCTAGGTTTAAATATTTAGAGTATATTTACATTTTACTTTATTTTGAATTTATTTATTTATTTTTGAGACAAGGTCTTCCTAGTTACTTAGGGCCTGACTAAATTGCTGAGGCTGTCCTCAAACTTATGATCCTCCTGCCTCATCTCCTGAGTCTCTTGGATTATAGGAGTATGCCACTTACCCCGCTCATGGTCATTGTCTTAGAAAGTATGAACCAAAATGAACAACAACAACAAAAAACCCCGATTTCTCTTTGAAATATTAAAAAATTGAAATTGTGAGCAGTTTAGATTTAATGTTAATTTTAGGTAGTAAAAAGTTTACTTGGAAGTTAGATTATATGTAAGCATCATTTTTCTTTATTATAGCAGACTAATTACAGTATCTCAATTCTAAAAAGTAATAAACATGTGAATTAAACTATTTTCTGCTTCACTTTTTGTAAAGGCAACAGACTGGTACAGATTGGATTTATAAGAAATTGATTTAGGCTGGGCACAGTGGCGCATGCCTGTAATCCCAGTGGCTCAAGAGGCTGAGGCAGGAGGATTGTGAGTTCAAAACCAGCCTCAGCAATTTGGCAGGACCCTGTCTCTAAACAAAAAAAGAGCTGGGAATGTGGCTCAGTGGTTAAGTGTCCTGGGTTAAATCCCAAGTACCCCTCTCCCCCCTCAAAAAAAAAAAAAAAAAAAAGGTTGGTTTAGATTAAATTTAGATTTTCAAATTATTTTAAAGTAGACTTAATATTGGAATAAGATTTTATGAGAAGAAAATATCAGTTTTTTTAGAGGAAAAGATTTCTAATGAAGTGGAATTTGAGCTATGAAATATTGCCATTTGAAAATAACACAGTATTTAGAATTTGACTTATGTTCTCTTTAAATGAGAAAAGAGGATGACATCACTTAAATTTGATGGAGGCTGACTAATGATACCATTTGTGGTATTTGATATGCAATATTTCTATATTTGAAAGAAAATACTTGTCTCATCCAGAATGCTTAAAAAAAAAAAAAAAGATTTCAGCTGGGCACCAGTGACATATGCTTGTAATTCCAGTGGGTAGGGAGACTGAAACAAGAAGATCACAAGTTCGAAATGATAAAGGATAGTTGTCTGTATTCTCATCTTAAACAATTTTTGTGAGTTGAAGTGGGTCAGTGTCTACATGCATATTCCAAGTTGTTACTCTTACATTAGGAAAATAGAAGCATAATGCAAAAAACAAAACAAACAAACAAAAAAGTAGATGTATAAAGGCATGAATTGGCATGAACATACTCTATATACAAAGATATGAAAAATTGTACTCTATATGTGTAATAAGAATTGTAGGGCTGGGGTTGTGGCTCAGGGGTAGAGCGCTCGCCTAGCATGCATGAGGCACTGGGTTCGATCCTCAGCACCATGTAAATGTAAAATAAAGATGTTGTGTCCACCTAAAACTTAAGAATAAATATTTTTAAAAAATATATGATGCATTCTGTTGTCGTATTTAAAAAAATAAAATCAATAAAACTAAAAAGAGAAAAAAAAAGAAAAGAAAACAGCCACAGATAAAGCTAAAATTTAAGAATTGTTTCCTGGGGTGGGTGCTCAGTTTGTCACCTGAATGGTCCTGTTAACTCTTGATAGTTTACAGTCCAGACTATGGTTAGTGTTAATTTTGATTTCCTTTCCTTTTCAGAGGTGGAACTTGAGTCTGGCATTCAACTCAGGAGATTTGGAGACAAAGTAAATTTCCGTCAGAAACTTCTGAATTTGATTTCCAAACTCTTCAGTTTAGTAACCTGACTGCTTCAAAAGCCTTTGGGTGAAGGGAGTACTTTAAAAAGGAGGTATCCCCAGTAGTCCAATTTCATCAGAGGAGAGACTGCATTATAATTGAAAGGAATGTGAAAGAGCATTCACTTCCTTTTGGAAGTCTTTGGAAAGGGAAAACATAACAAGTCAAAAGATGAATTTCTGTAGGAGGCTTCCCAGAAATCATTCTTTGGGACGTGAGACCTTTGTGGAACCATGTTTTATTTTAAAACATGAATAGAAGAGCTTTAAAAATAGGGAAGTTATTGTTAATGCATTTCTTTTTTTGCTTAGAGATTATTCTAGTATTTTTGTTGAATGTTGCTGCCCAGCCTGGTGTAACAAGAGTTGACAAATGATCATATTGGGCAGTGGGGAAGAAGTAGCTCTGTGTTTTTGCTTTTTCAGTTTGTTTTATACATTTAATTATGGTAAAAGAAAACATTTCGTTCTGATAACACTGGATGTTATTTAAAAATTATCATTTAAGAAAAAGTAAAGTTCACAGGGAACATTGATTGCATAGGTCACTACAAAATGTAACATAGTTTAAATTTTTTTTTTTTTTTCAATTCAGACTGTATTGTTTCTGTTCAGGTGACCTGTAAGTGTGTTCCTGTGAGCATTAACTGCGAGTGTGAAAAACTAGAAAGTAACTTTGAAAACATTTGATTATATAGTGTCAGTAAAACTCTAGCCAATTGAATATTAAATGATTAAAGAGTTTGGTGATTTCATATGACCAAGGATAATAAAAAAGGAACCAAATGTCCTCTCCCTCACCCCCCAGTACTGGGATTGAATTCATGGTCTCTCATCACTGAGCCCTGTTTTTCATTTTATTCTTGAGATGAATCTTGCTAAGTTGCTGAGACTGACTTCTAACTTGGCAGTACATCTGGCTCAGCCTCATGAATTTCTGGGACTGACTTTTTAATTGGTAGAATTAAAACTTAGTAAAACAAATATTCACAGAAAGTTTCTAAAAAATTGAAGATGCCCTTCTCACAGTAGTTAGCGTGTGCATCCTGCAAAAAGTGATCTTTTAAAAGAAATTAGGACATTTTCATAATTGGGATATTATCAAAAAAGAAGAGGAACAGATATTTCTCATTCAAAATAAAAATTTCATACAGATATGAAGAGGTATCTATATATATGGATATCTGTATAATTTACATTAGAGTAATATGAAGGCTCTTTGAAGAGTTTCTTCAGTGTTTTTTATATGAGCTGTAGACATGAAACTAAGTATTCAATAGCAAAACAAACAATCCTATTAAACTTGGTCAAGGGATTTGAAGAGACATGTCTCGAAGGAAGACATACAAATGTTCAACAGATAGAAGATTCCGAGTGGATGCTCCAGTGGTGCAACCGGTTAACACGTTGGTACTTATACAGCAGAAGAGTCTGAGAAATGCAAATGAAAACCACAAGAACCTTATACCTGCTAGATTGGTTATTTTCAAAAAGATGAAAGATAACAAGTGCAGGAGACATGTGGAGGGGAAAAGGAAACTTGATCTACCTTTTCTGGTTTTGTAAGTTAGTACAGCCATTTTGGAAAACAGTATGAAAATTCCTTAAGAAACAGAACTATAGTATGATCCAGCAACCCCACTACTGGGGTATATATCCAAAGAAATTGAAGTCAGTATGCTGAGGGGCTATGCACACTCCTGGGTTTGCTGCAGTGTTATTTACAACAGGCAAGACATGGAAACAGCCTGTGTCCAAGAGATGACTGAAGTAGTATGTAAACACAATGAGTATTATTGAGCCTTAACAAAGGAGATGCTACCATTTGTTAAAGTGAATGCGGTGAATCTAGAGGACATGCACAGAGATTAAATGCCCTTTGATCTCATTTAATTTGATCAAAATCAAATTCTGACCTTAGGATGGTGATTACCAGATAACCTGAATTTGGTTGGAGAAGTGGGGGTGGGGTGGGGAAAAGACTACAAAGTTGGAAATGAGTTCTGATGTTCTGTTGTGTCATTAAATAGTTAATGTACATTTCAAAACAACTAAAGGAATTTTGTGTGTTCTTACCACGTGGAAAGGATAAATATTCTGATTTTATCATTCTACAATGTATCTATATATTAAACACATTTTATATACAATTTATCAATTAAAAATAAAACTAAAAAATTAAAAAAGGGAATGATGCTGTGATTAAATTTGTCAGAAATTTTATTTATCTTACCTATTTATAATTATTTTCCATTTGGTTTGAAAACATGTATTTCATTTTTGTGGTGAGGCAAGGGTTCCTTAATTACTTGAGTTCTTAGAGTGAGAATAGCAATGTAGACTGTAGTAACCTTAGATGCAAAATTGTCTCAGCATCTGTCTTCAGTTTTAAGGCTTGTTTATCACAAAAATTCGTGTTTTTTTTTTTTTTTTTTTGCCTAGAGGCAAATGTTCTGCCATGTGGGTATTTAAGGTCTGTAACTATTTATATGTACATATGAAAGTTGATACTGTGTCAATAAACAATTAAAATTGAATCACCATTCTTTGTGCATTTATTTTATTTTTTTTCAACGTGTGAGCTACTAAGTGTTCATTGTCAATCCAAAATATTTAAACGGCCTGACTTCCAGCAGCCGGCTTCACCTGGAGGCACACCGCCTCTCTGCAGCTTTGTGGTAGGAATAGAGACTAAGGTGCATTTGGTTTCTTCTCTGCCGTCGAGGGGCTTGCGCTTTCATTGAGGGGAAACAGTAAAAGGACCTTAATGCCAGGCGTAGCTGGAGGGATGCTGATCACGGTCTGATGAGGGGTCTAATGACCGCACCGTGCACACTGCCTCGGTCGGACCCGGACCCCTCTGCCTGGCGAGTGGAGCCGCCGTGCAGTTTCGGTCCTGGTGACCACGCTTCTCCTGTGCCCAGCGCGAGCGCAGCAAGGATTGCTTCATCAGGAGCTGGTCATTGCAGAAGTAGGTGCAGCTCGGCGGCCGTCCTGTTCCGAGTGTGAGAACTGGAAGATACCGCTGGTTTGTAGCTCAGATCTAGGAGCCGCATCTTTACTCCACCCCTGCCTGCCCTCCGAAGTCGTTGGCAGACGTCGTGGAATGTAAATTGCTTCCCTTCGATGAAGTGGGGAGGGTTGTGTAGTGCGGGAGGAGGAGGGGAGGGAGCGTTTGGCTTCAGAAAGGGTGGGGCAATCTGCCTGATTGCATTTGAGGCATATTGCGAGAGTAGTAAGTAGCCTCTCCGCATAAACAGAACTGTTTTGCTAAAATACAGGAGTTAACACATGAAGACTTAGGCATGGATTTCACAGACTTATTTTTTATTTTTGCGATAGAGGGGATTGAACCCTGGGGCGCTGTACACTGAGCCCCAGCCCCAGCCCTTTTATTTTGAGACAGGGTTTGGTTAAATTGCTGAGGCTGGCCTTAAACTTGCAATCCTCCTGCTTCAGCCTCCCGGCGTGGTTGGGTATATAGCCTTGTGTGCCAGCTAGCATTCATATTTTAATAACAACCTCTTCTGTATACTTGAAAAGTTATGTGTGTATCTACTCAGAATTAGTTGTTCTTAAGTTGAAAGATCCTTCTGCAGTGATTTGGGGTCTAGCCTTCCTCCTAATGACTGCAACCTCTTCTCCCCCAATCCTTGGGCAGGCACAGCAAAAATGGTGAGAATCTTGTTCTCCTTCTAAACCCTTTGTCAGAGGGAGCAAAGCATCAGGAAGATAAAAGACACCCTAAAAACAGTGAAGACTGGGAGCCATGTCATGCAAAAAGCATTATTGTACTTTGGAATCCTGAAGCTGGACTTTTAATACAAAGCCATTGGTGAGCTATGTGACATTGGCAATGAGTAACTCTGAATCAGAGTTTCTCTGAAATCAAGAGACCCAGATCATCCTTCAGGTCCTTTGTAGTTTGAGTCAGAAAGTGGTACATGGCAAAGGAGTCTGAATCCCCACTCCCCCATGAGCCCCTGCTCCTGTTCTCAGTTCAGATAGCATAAGAAGGAAGAGTGCAAAAAGAAGGAGAGTGAGGTATGAAAAGGAAAAAAAAAATAATCATTTTCTGGATTCTTCTCCCAATGTGCAGACTCTTTTCTTTTTCTTTAGTGCTGGGGCATCAAACTCAGGGCTCAGCAAGTGCTCTACCACTGACCTACTACCTGACCTAGAGACATTGATTCTAAATTTGCATTGAGTGGGGACTGCTTGGATTCCTAGGTGTTTTCTTGCAAGTGAGAATTTCTCGGTGAACTTGGCAGTGGGCAGTGGTGATACCAGGAGAGCTACTTATAGGTAGCTGAAAATAGATGGGGGTCACCTGACAGGACACACCCTACTGTGTAATCAGTTGAATATTCCCTAGTAATATGTCACAGTTAAAGAGCCAAACCTTTGTCAATACAACTCAGGCACTAACTTTAGGTTCTCTTTTAAAGGCTTTCAGAAATCACTTTGACAAATTCAAAGTGAAGTTCTTTTATGGTATTTTCCCCAAATATGCTATTCTTCAAAACCCCAGAGAAAAGAGGAAGTTGACAAGAGCACTATAGATCCTTTACTAACCAATTTATTATTGGCATGTTCTAGTCCCCCCAACCCATGGATACAGTGTATTCTATGCTCTCTGTGATTGAAAACTACACAGTGCAAGGAACCTGGGCTTGGGATTGGATTGAGCAATAGAATAGAATAGAATAGAATAGAGAGTAGAAGAGTATACAATGTGCAAATAGCCCCTTCATAATTCTTGTGGTTTAGGAAGAAGCTTCTATTCTTTTCGTCATGCTCTCTCACTATGATCTCAAATAAAGCTTATGAGTTTTGCCCATTTCCAACCCCATATCTTCACTCAGCTGTTTTCAAAACCACAAGGTTTGTCTTTTCACAATTGTCATTGCTTCTGGCTTTGGAATCAGAGTGTCATGTTGCCACGTACTCTCTGTGTGACTCTGGATAAATGCTTGATCTCTGTTTTCTTTTTTAATATTTATTTTTTAAGTCGTAGGTGGACATGATATCTTTATTTCATTTTTATGTGGTGCTGAGCTTTGAACCCAGTGCCTCACGTGTGCTAGGCGAGCGCTCTACTACTGAGCCACAACCCCAGACCTGATCTCTGTTTTCTTATAAAATGTTAACTATATCTATTTCAAGCTATCATGAAAATCCAATGAGATGAGAATGTGTATCGCGTCCAACTAATAGTCTGTGTCCAGAAAATGTCAGCCAGCTTTACCTTGAAGATGGAGGAAGGAGGAGATTAGCTTTCTTATAAAGCAATGGAGGATCTCGCCCAGCAAATACAATTAGGCTAAAATGAAACACTTCAAAGGATTTTGATAGGGTGGTGATGAAGCCGGAGGGGAAGTGGCAGTTTTCCCTTTATGAGGACGTCTGCTTTTAATTTGTAAACTCTTAGTAATGCCAAACCCTTTATTTTTATCCTGTGTATAACATTTAAATGACCAAAGACCTTTGCAGGTATGCACATAAAAATCCCGGGGTCTGGATTTACATAATACCTCCTCAAGAAAAGGGAGAAAGGCACTGTCTGGTAAATTTGGATTTGAGTAAGGCTAGATTTGCATAGAAGAACAGTTTTTCAGCAGAGACTTTTGAAGTCCTCCCCCTCCCCCTCCTTGGTCCCCCACCCCCACCAGAAAAGACTGTGAGAATTTGTTAATTTGGAGTACAAAGGTCACATCCAAACTGCTTTTGGTTTTTGGCCTTGGGAACCATTGTTATATTGCTCTGCAGGGTGTTACCACTGCTTCTTTATGTTTGTATTCATAAAAACAAAACTTTCACAAGATAAATGCTACTTACTGATCACCTGTGATGTGCCAGTTACTTTAGAATCTTAGTTTTATTATTTTAGTTGTCCTCAAAACACTCATATTGAAAAGGTATGGCTAATTATCTTTCTCATTTAGACATTTTTTTTTTTTTTGATTGAACTTGGGATTGAACTCAGAGGTGCTTTACCACTGAACTACTTCCCAACCCTCTTTATTTTGTATTTTGAGTCAGGGTTCCACTAAGTTGCTGGGGCTGGCCTGGAACTTCTTGTGATCTTCCTGCCTCATCCTTTCGAATCATTAGGATTACAGGAATGTGCCACCACACTGGCATTGTTCTCGCTTGAGGAAGGTGCCTCAGAGAATCTGCAATTTTACCAAAGTCAATTTGCAAATGAGCAAAACAAACAGGATTTTAATGCGGGCTTCTCTGTGCTCAAAATTGTCTTCTCTACTTATTACAAAACATCCGCCTCCCACCCGCTGTGGAGTAGGAGGAAAGTTTCCTCACCCAGAGAGAGGCTGGTTTGTTTGTCACCCAGCACCTCATTAAATGCAGCCAAGTTTTATATCCCTAGGTTTTCTGAGGGTGGAAAGCTGATTATTAAGTTTAGCTGATACATGAAAAAAGATCAATCAACGTAGCACCCAGAGATTGTGGCTCATAGGAAGAGCACTCGCCTAGCCTGCCTGAGGCACTGGGTTCGATTCTCAGCACCATGTAAAAATAAAATAAAAGAGCCAGGCGTGATGGCGCATGCCTGTAACCCCAGCGGCTTGGGAGGCTGAGACAGTTCAAAGCCAGCCTCAGCAACGGTGAGGCACTAAGCAACTCAGTGAGACTCTGTAAATAAAATACAAAATAGGGCTGGTGATGTGGCTCAGAGGTCAAGTACCCCTGAGTTCAATACCTGGTACAAAAACAAACAAATAAATAAATGTATTGTGTCCATTTACAACTAAAATATATATATATATATATTTAAATGTAGCACTCATTCACATTCTTCCAGTAAAGGGAGCCTTTCCAGTCTCCAGCCATCAAAGGGACCTAGAGGGGACCCATTGACCCCTCTAGTATGCCTGTAATCCCAGAGAACAGGGAAACTGAGGCAGGAGGATTGCAAGTTCGAGGCCAGCCTCAGCAATTTAGCAAGATCGTGTCTCAAAATAAAGAATAAAAAAGGCTGGGAATGTAGCTCAGTGGCAAAGTACCCGTGGGTTCAATTCCCAGTACTGCTAAATAAGTACATAAAATAAGGAGTCCTCCTTATTTTAGGTTATTCCTCTCACATTATTCCATTCTAAGAAACCAGAGTGAGCCAGCCAGGGAAGGTAATGCCTCTCCCCATTCCTGGGAGGGATTTGTGGTGGAGGAGGAGAGAATTAATTCTGAAAGATACACTGCCCACTGGCTGGCTTTTATCAGCTAAAGCCAAAAGAACACCTACTGAGACAGACTTGTTGGAGCTATTTGTAAGTGACAAAGAGAGGGATTGAAGGGCCCAGTCAGTCACAACAGTCATTTTGTGACCTTATCGCTGCCTTAGCAAATCTGCCTGATTCCATGAAGTCCAGGCAGAAGTTAGGAAGGGAGAAAAACTTGTTGCCACTATTAGAAAACAAGCAAACAACATCAACAACAACAAAACCCCAAAATATATATTAAAAAAAAACAACAATAGAGTACATCTAATCAACCAGTCCAAGCTGATGAGTCATCATGCACAAGT